TTTCTTTTAACTTGGTTTTTGTATGGGTTGAAAATGTGGCCAAGAATTCAGTGCTGTCAGTGATAGAAATTGTTGGAAAAGGGAATTACTTTTTATGTTCTGGGTGGGTACGAAGAGTGGTTGGATATATCAATTGGATAGTTTGGTTAACATATGCGACAATATATATTTTTTTTTTGAGAGTTAATATGAAACACATTACAACGTATTAAGTTCAACTTGAGTATTTTATCTTATAGCAACATTTTCTTCGTATTTATTCCTCTTAAGTTAGGTTAGTTATTTGTACAGTTTCCAGATTTGTACATGGTGTATACCAGAATGTACCAGAGAAACCAAACAAACATCGACCTATGCCAACTGACCACCGAGTGGTTCCCCTCCGGTGACCCAGCACACCAACACCAAAACTGGAATCGCTGCCACTTCCGCTCTTCATTCGACTGACTTCTCCCCCAGTGGAAGTCCATATGGATTTGTTGACATTTTGCGCCCGGGGTCATTACTTAGGGTTGGGGTTAGTGGGTCAATGGTTTATGAGGTCACATTTAGGGGGCCCGTGCACGGATAGTTGGCTGGCTGGTTAATGCCCGGTTGAAAAGGCATTCCGGGGAACTAACCAAATTAGGTGGCATGCAATTTGTGGCCCGCTTTCGACGTACGAAAATAGGCGTAATAATGAAAACTAAATGAATTTCACTTATGTTTCATGTCTGCGCGAAATTAAATGAACAAAAATGTTTATAGCATGTCGTCTGGTTGGGCTGCTTGGGTTTTTCGCTCTTTTTTGCATTTATTTATTTTCTATTTTCGTGGGCTGGCTCTTTTCTGGGCCACGCGAGGTAATAGTTAACCGAAATTTTGCCGGTTGACAAATGATGCTTTATTTTCTCGTTTCTTGGTGTGCCACATAATTAAATGGAGTAACGCCCATTGGGGTCACGTGTGCCAAATATCCAACCGAATCGAAGTAGCTCTACGGTAAACCATTGCGAATTTCTTGAAATATTCGAGCCTAACATGCATGTCTCGAGTTGGGCTATAAAAAATGTATAAAAATTGTTGCACATTATGATGGGCATGCGAAAAGCAGACACGCATGCCCTTTTAACTGCAGACGACCGGCTGCGATATAAAATTCGGTTGAACGACGCCTTGCGAAATAATCAGGTGTTATTTACGCCTGTATAAAGTATAAATTTAATAGCGAAACGGTTAAATGTTTCTAATTGCCACTTGCGGTTTTACAAGCCTTTAAAGTGTTTATTTAAAAAAAAAAACAAAAGAAAAAGCTTGAAATGATTTTTAAATGGGTTTGTTTTTTAAATAAGCTGATCCCCAAATTTTACCAATATCTCATCAAATACTGCTTATTGTTTACTATAGTTCTAAAATGTTGTTTTGCATCTGCTTTTAAAACCTCTAAAGCCATGAAACACAAAGATCAAAGCCCCCTAATGTGTTTTTTACCCCCAAAACTTCAAAGTGTCAAAAATTATTTGGCGTTTTTGGGCCAAAGACAGACGAATCAATAAAATTTGATTGAACAATAGATTCGAGTCGTTTTCGATTTCATGCATGTGCTGGCTGTAAAAGACTATAAAATGAAAACCGTAGACGTGATGTCTTCAAGTCTCATTACGGACAGCCCGTACTTCGGACATGTTCCGTTCACAATCGAAAATATTTGTAAAAAATATTTTTAATGTACAATCTCTGCTATGTATGCACGTGGACACGGACTTTTGGCAGGCGGTACTTGAGGCGTCAAGAAATCAAAAGAAAACATTTCAATAAATCAAATCAAACAATGGCCTACACAATTTTGGACAGCTTATTGACACGTTGAGGCCATCGAGATTCCGAAGCGGAGAGTTGCTAGAATTCCTGCTGGCATTTCGCCGAGGAAGCCAAATTCGGTGGCATCCTCTTGTTGACACTGCTCCAAACGAGGCTTACAAATGGCAGCACTCCTTGAACAATGTCTGACATTTTGCAGCCGCCATTGAAGGTTTTTCCAATGCAGAAAAAAAATGAGGAAAACTCCGTAAGCAAAAATGAAAAAGAAGAACTTAGTTTACATGAAGATCTGTCGAGTCAACGGTTTGCATATAAATCTTGCTGCGGGTCTGCCCAAAATGATTGCAAGTGTCAAAAGTCAACAACCAAATGTCACGTTTTGTTGTTTTGTTTTTATTTATTTTTCTCCTCCTCAATGTTTGCCTCGCTGACGAACAGAGAAGCTCAGGCAAATTCACCGCCTCAGCAAGCAATTGACATTTATTAAACATAAAAAAATAAAGATTAAAACCTCGGCAGTCTGGGAAGTTGGTCTGTCCAAAAAACACAATGCACTCGGTGAGTGCATCCACAATTTCGGATACTTTTTCGGCTTTTAAGATTGAAATGATTTTCCCGCACTTGTCAAAATAAGTCTCGGTAATAAATTGACAAATTATTCACATAAATTGTTTGACATTTTTATTGCCACAAAAGTTGCCATACCATCTCGTCTCCCCTTTTTTTCACTCTCGAGATTGCTAATTTCGGAGACAGGCAACGGAATGTTAACTTAGTGCAACTCAATTACTTTGAGTGGCCAATTTTCTTTTTGTTTTTCTGGTGCCTGCCGACACTTGGCGTAGAAATTTCAAATTAATGGCTTAATATTTTGTTTTAATGCTTTGGGTCAGCGGAGCAGCAGCATCATCATCAATGGCGAAATTAGCTGAGCTGGGACTCTAAGTGGATTATGCAATGGGGAGAAATAAAATGGACGCTTACCGAATTAAAGCGGGTTTTTCATCGACATCAACGAGGTTCAGCGGGGGTCAACTTTCGTTTGAAACTAAAACATAATTTCGCAATTGGATTAGTATGACTGAGGCAATGGAAATAAATCAAGGCGGTATCGCTTTGAAATGACCACTTCGATTTGAAATGTGATCCGATATCGATCTGTCGTTTGGAGGTTTCTTAATTTTTGACATTTGATTTGACTTGTTCAATGCAAAACCTCAATGCCAAATCAACCCAAACAGACATCTTCGCTAGCTTGAGCCAAAAATACAGCATTGAGTCTGACATTTAAGATTCAGTGTCATTAATAGAAATTGCAGACATTGGGTGGGTGTCAAAGCAATGACAAACGATCCCCAATGATCTTGACGTTTCTCAATTGGAATCAATGCAAAATCAAAAACGGCGTCACAAAATGTCGATAAATGGTTCGTTCGACTGCTGAGGCGTGTAATTGTTGAAGTTTACTTACAATTGACGGCAGTCGACTGTCCGCAATCGTTGCCATAAAGTCTCAATTGATTTGTCATTTGAATCTGGGAGAACAATGCGGACATGTGGCCGTCAACGGCGACACCTTTTCAACGGTCTAAATTTAGTTATAATTGCTCAACCTTGCCAAGAGCTTAGGTCGAAGGTAGGTTCATAAAACTTTCGCTTATCAAACCTCGAGCAGACACAGTGTTAAACTGGTCCTGGCTTTTGCTCTTTCTTAGCTCTCCGCAAAACTCAAAAAAGTCGGAAAATGGCAAACCAAAAAGTGCATTTAAAGACAGACAGTTCGAATGACTGAGTAAGCTGTTCGCATTCAACGGAGTAACTTCACCGAACTTCGGCAAAAGTGTGGAAAAGAAACAAGAAGAGCTAACGACTTAACAAGCAGACAACACCGAAATACCTCATGATGTATAGGAAAGCTCCGAACTTAACCCCCACAGTTGGACTCCTGGCAGACCCACAGAAACTGTCAGTTTGACGAAGAAAACGAATGCTGTAAATTATGATTTTATGACAGAAAAGTTTTAAAGGCCAATAAATTTAGCCGAGCATGCCAAAGCGCAAAAGATATAGAGACAGCTAAAAGGAAAATAAAAATGGCTGAGAAAATGCTTAAGTATAACAGGAACTAGTCGAGTGGTATCCACTGCCAGGGGTACCGGGAAATTTTTGGAGCTCCGGTTAATGTGCAGTGAGAGAAGTTTTTGGGAACGAAAAATCAAATAACTATCAAATAATAAAAAAAAATTGTTTGGTTTAAATAAAGGTATTACTATCTTAAAGAGAGTTCAAATTCCCGTAATCGAATACAACTTAAATATGTGGGAAATTAATGTACACCAAAAACTTACATAATTTCATTAGAGTGCACTTCCGAGAAACTGCTTTCATTATGCCTCTATTCATAAGAAAAACTTACCAAACAAACCAAACTTCCCGCTGCACTTAGCCCTCGCAAAAGGGTGGCTTTGGTCTCTTTCGGAAAAGGGTTAGGATTATTATGCATATTGAGTGCGAGTTCGAGTTTCGGGATCCCTTGCAAAGCGTTCAAACTGTCAAATGCACAACGGGCCCAAAAAACACGACGCAAGAGAAAAGGCCAATAATTGGCCATGACTTTGGTTTCCGAGTTTTTATGCCTGTCAGCCAAACCGGCCGTTGCAATTGGGGGAATGGGAACTGTGCTGTGGACTGGGCCGGGTCTTAAATTAAACGGGTAGGGCTTTTTTCGGGGGTCTGTGACTACTGGTTCTTTACGACCCTTGTGGAGAAAATATGAATAAAGTTTTTCGGGTCTTTTTTTCTTTTTTGATGAGGCCGCTTGTCGTCGCCCGCCTTGACAATGAAAACTGCTAACTGCTTACTGCTTACTGCTTACTGTGCTGTGTTGACGGACTGGCGTTCTCGTTTGCCGGCTTTTTGAGTTAGTTATGGCCTAAAGCCTTGTCATGTCATTGATAGTTTTCGGGGGCGTTGCTGTTTACCATTTATCGTTTTATTTATGGTGTGCACTTGGAATGCGCATCGCCCGCTGATTCTTTACTATTTATTATTACTATATTTCTTTGACTTCTTTTTTTATTTTTTGTTGGTTAGTTACCGGAAAAGGGTTAAAAGTCAAGGGTTTTTTAAAGACTTGCGTCGTCCATTGTCTTGGCATTGTGTATCGAGTTTAATAAGCATTTACCTTTTCCTCTTTGCAGTTGGCCCCCAACAACCAAAACAAATGCAAATGTGCGCCCCAAAGACATATTACCCCGAAAGTTATCAATAATTGTTTGCCGGAAGAGGAGATACAACTCAGCCATTTAAGCACCGGGCTCAGGGTGACAGCAACAATTCTGTGTGGACACGTTTCTCTTTTGGATAAAATCGACAGCACAGCGAAGTCGGCATAATGTTGGATCGATGCGAAATGCCGGTAAGTAGATGGTATCGATATTATCGAGGAAATAAACAAATCGTAAATAAGCAGGGATTTCGAAATCTTTCTTGTTGGTGAAGCAATCAGCATCCTATCCTATATTCCGAAAGAAATAATTTTAACACGCTAAGAAATTGGAAAATACTTTAAAAGAAATAGCTGGAGACTTTATTTTAGAATTTTTCACACATAGTTTTTGAATTTACTGTCAAAAAGTATTTTATATATTTGCATAATAAGAGATTTCATAAACCAGAGAAAGTAATTTTTCAACTAAGAATTACGTTCGCGGAAAAATGAAATGGAAGAAGATACGCAGTACAAATAAATACTTTAGCCAGAAAGTAGGCTTATTTTTAAGGCATGGAGCTACGGGATATGAGTTGCTGCAATCCAATTTAGTTAACTGCCCGGGGGTATGCTATATTTACTAATGAACTATATTAATTTACTAATGGTCGTCTTGTTCCTTCTGCAGATCCAGCTGGACAACGAGAAGCTGCGACGGGATGTTCGTTTGACGGGCTCCCGACGGGATTTGCCACAGCTTTGCAATGGATCGCGACGCCTGGATGGACTAAACAACCACCTGGCTGCCAGCGAGCCATCTGTTACGACCACATCCCTGAATGGAAATGGCAATAGCAATAGTAACAGCAATGGCAACAACAACATCGGATCTCCCGTCTCGTCATCGACAACAAATAGTAGTAATGGTGGCAACGAGCGCGGCTCCTCCACAAAATCAAACAGCAGCAGTGGCAGCGGAAGCTCGGGAAACTCGGCCAGCAGCACAGGAAGTGCCGAGCTCAAATGCAATACGCCCATGACGCCATCTGGTAAGCGGAATTAAAATCCCTTTAACTAGTTATGCGGGGTTTCTAAACAAAAGACTTTTTTAGTTACCAGGCCCCAGGGCTTCAGCAATTTAATCAGATTTCAAAATATCATACCCCTGAATGTTTGCGGTGGCATTTTAATCGTGCCATTATCAACGTCGATTTTTTTGACCCCTGTTCATGTCAAATTTTTCCAAGTTTTCCCATGATTTGGCAATAAGATAACTTATTCTAGAAGTCCACAGCCCATAACTTTGCCAATTTTAGTCTGATTCCAAAGTGGCATACCTCTAAACATTTCTGGTCGCATTTAGAAACAAACAGCACTTAAAATGTTTAATTTAATAAAGCTATATTTTTTTACACAAATTGGGTTTTATCCACAAATTTTCAACTGTGCTGAGTGGGTTAATTTCACCACCACAGAAAGACTGCTCGTTTGGACCAAAATCCTGGCGATGCATTGTGCGTTTGTCGGTTTGCATCGCTGCAGTCCAATGCCAATTAGTGGAGCACGCCCTCCAGGCATTTGGTGGCCACACTTCATCATTCCACAGCTCTCTAATTAATTTTTTATACGCTTTAGAAAAACAAGTAAAATGGCATTGAGGTCAGGGTCAATAGGGTTTTCGAGTGGCAGTTGCCACATGGGAAAATTCTGAATTACCTGTTCACTTGGTTACAAAATGAGTAAAAGGACGAGTTGCGAAGAGTCAGGGAAGAGGAGCAAGCACGAAAAAGCTTTTAGCCGCGACGGAAATTAAATTCCATTGCAGATGCAAATCGTGTAAAATGTAAAACCAAAACAGGGAAAAAATACTAAAGCACCTGTTAAAAATGTATTTGTATTTAAGTGGTTTTTAGATTTTACTCATCGTATAACCTTTCATTTACAGAGCTTGTAAAGAAATTTCGGAATTACCTAACTGATCTGGAGTTCGAGGAACTTAAGGTTTACAAGGAAGTCTGGTATTTTGGCCAGCATGCCAGCAAGAATTACAACAAACCCGCCCCCACAGCCAATACCACAAATCTGGGCTATGACGATGATAATGGAAACTACAAGATCGTAAGTGGAGTGTACATATCTTATTAACCTGAAAGAAATTATTAAACCTGTATATTTATAACAGATCGAACACGACCACATAGCCTTCCGCTACGAGATTCTGGAGGTGATTGGCAAAGGCAGTTTCGGCCAGGTCATCAGAGCCCTGGACCACAAGACCAACACACACGTGGCCATCAAGATCATAAGGAACAAGAAGCGCTTCCTCAATCAGGCCGTCGTGGAACTCAATATCCTCGATGAGCTGCGCGAAAAGGATGCGGATGGATCTCACAATGTCATACACATGCTCGACTACACATACTTCCGCAAACATTTGTGCATTACCTTCGAGCTGATGAGGTAAGTTTGAACCTAGTTTTCATTGGGATTCTCAACAAACATAATTCCTAAACTCTTTCTGACGTCAGAGCTTTTGATTTGCTGCCAGTCACGGGAAAAGTGAAGTTGGCTTTTACTGTCTTCAATTAAATGCGCGTATAACTCGCATTTCTATTAACATTCTGCCAATTATTGCTCGCCAACTTTCGTTGCGTGCTTGTTAGCCATAAAATTTGGCTATTATTAATTTCCATGTTCCAAGTACCTAGCACGCATTGCGATATGAGAAAAGCCGAATAAGCAAACATATGTGCGTTTTCTGCAGGTTTTTCATTGTCTTCCAGTTAAGTTTTATTGGCCTTTGTGTGTATGGCGGTATCAAATGGTTTCGGTTTGCCATTTCATAAGGCCATAAATCCTGCCCACGCCATGAATGGCTCTCAAGTGGTTCCCATAATTCCTTTTACGAGACTCCAAATTAACTTATTAAAGGGTGTGTGAGACAGAGGTAACCTTAAAGTCCCAAAGCCCTGGAGGCAAACAATATAAATATCTATTTATTTTCCTGCCCCCATAGATTACTTGCCACAAAAGCGCAAACAAACTGGCAGACGCAGACACAATCGAAATCAACAAGGAAAAGACCGCAAACGCCGCTCGGCCATCAATTTCAATTTAAATGTTGAATGTTGTGTGGCCTACTTGCAGGCGCAGGAAAATGCATTTCCACACCCACTGGCAGCCTTTTTACACTTACCATACATATGTGTATGGTATGGTCGTGCCCAGAGGAAAACCTGTTGGGTTGAGCCAGGTATTTCCAGTGTGTGTATAGGCAGAAATCTAATTGATTGGCAGCATTTGAAATCCGCTGGTGTTGACTATTTATAAAGGGGTGGCACACGGCGGGCTGGAAAAACTGACTGCATATGTCAAAGTTTAGACAGCAGGCAGCGCAAATATGGTATAAATAAATCCCAAAAGAAGGCACGGAAGCGGCACGCGATGCAACAGTCAAAGTTGAAGAAAGCGAACCTCGAAGGTCGGCGGTCTTGTAGTTGTGTTTCCTATTTGTTTCCCCCACTTCCAAATGCCTACTCTTCCCATTGAGCTTGACATTTCCGTCAGCCGACGGACGACTAATTTGTCTTAATTGCAGACCAGAAAAGCCGAAAAAAAAGTTTACATTTTCTGCGAGTTGACATTTTTGAGAACTGATTTCGGGTTTCTAAATTCAAATGGGCCAGTGGCACGCCACCGAAAATAGGCAAATAATCCCAATTTGCAGGCGACAGTTAAAAATCGATGGGTAGCCGAAATTAAATCGTAGTAACCCATTCCAAGCTACACAAATTTAATTAATTATTTGCTCTGCGACTAATTAGCCGCAAAATTGTTTTTCGTTTCCCTTTGTTACTTGGAGTGCGCACTTAATATATTTCCCTTTTTTTTTTTTTTTTGCGCTTTTAAGAAGTTTTCCCCTGCAGCGGACAAAGTTTTCGCCTGCAAGTGACCAGGGGACCGGGGAACCGCATTGACAACTCAGCGGCAAGTTTTAAAGTTTGTTTTGAACGAGTAAACAAATTGTATGGCAAGTTTTACGTAATTAAATTTACATGCACGCAATTTAATTTGCATGCCATGAGGGCTAAAATTTCCTATTCCCCGTCCAAATGATTAAATGTTCCAGATAGGATTAGTTGGGCTTAGAATTAAGTAACTTTCCGCTGCGGTTAAATTAATAGAAATTGGAAAAGTAATTAAATCAAAAGAAAAACCCATTCCGCTTGTCCTGAAAACGAGATAAACTATGTGGGGCGAAAATGAGGACCACGTTTTGCCCCACAATCTGATTAGCTAATTAGCAAAAGGACCTGCAGCAGAGCGCAAATATGAAACCTAATCCGTGTCCCCAAAGTGACACACTTATTTCACCTCTGCGCAAAGCCAGACACATTCAAGGACTTAATTTCACAAAAAGGACAGAGGGCGGCCAGAGAATGAGGATCTAGCGGATGGGAGGAACTAAATTGACGCCAAGTGACACATTTCACACACCGACACAAACCTGCTTTGGGTGATTTCGCACATTCGACCCTGGCAGGTGGCATTCGGGGTCCGTTGTTTTGTTGGTCCTGTTTTAGCATTATGAGCCACATAATTTACAGCGACAGCTATAAAATGAGAGCTGCCAAAGTGCCAAAGACAGCCGACATACCCACACATATCCTTACATACCATGGACCCCCATAACTATGCAGCATATTGTCCCGGCGAGGATGACGCTGCTCCTTTTTGGCCAAAGAACAAGCTTCGGGCCCTGTGGATGTGGCCAAGTTTTCCTTTGCGTGTGAGTGTGTGTGTGTGTCAAGCACATAAATTTCAGCTAATGTTGCCCGCGAGGAAAGCATCCTGCCCCGCCTTTCTCCGCCTTTCCCCGCCTTTTCCCGCCTCCAATGTCACTGCCTTCCTCTCGCAACTCGACGGCTTTGGCTTTGCAATGTGTCATGATATAATTTCAATTTTTATGGCTCATAACGAGATCGAGTTGGCGATAATCGCCTGGGAATTAATATGGATATATTAACGAGATCTACGATTTCATAGGGTGTTATGTACTTACATTGAAATAAATTAATTGGATATCAATTTAAGATGATAAGGGAAAACAAACACAGTTTAATTGAAGACATGTTTTGAATGATTTTGAGTACATTTTGTGTAGATTAAATTATGTGTAGCCTATATTAATGATCTAAAATGAAATTTGTCGCCCAATTATTAAAAAACAAAAGGATGCAATGCCATTTAACTGATTTTATAAATTTTATTTTTCTATGTGAGGATATTCCTAAGGAGATTTCCTGTCGGAATTAATAGGGTATTTATTTTTGTGATTTTAAAATTCTTCAGTTTTTTAGGCCAGGTAAAAGCCGTACCTTTTTTTCATAGACCTGGTGACCCACTTGCTGGCCACCACGTCGTTATCCATTTCAAAGCCAATCAATGTCAAACAGATGCAGCATGTGACCGCCTGTCATCGGCCATGTAATTGACTATTCTCGACATGGCCGACGACAACGTGAAAGTGACATAGACAAGTGACAGGATGTCGCCGGCAGTCCGCTGACTTTGCTCATGTGCCGACGACACGACGACAGAGCGACAGGACGAAATGATTTTTAATTAAAATGCAACATGCGGCGTGCGTGAGCAGTGGGCGTGGTCATGCAAATGAGCAGGTCCTGCAAGTTTATTCTTTTTAATTAATTTTTGCACTCAGCGCGTGTAAATTGCAATTAGGGGCGAGCGGCAAGGACGCCAGGACGAGTTCGCGGATTGAGTTACCAGTTACCAGGAGAATAAACACTCAAGGGGGCGGCGGAGGAGGACGAAAGGGGTGTGGCGGTGTCAGCTGTTCCGCGGATGTTGATGTAGGTTATTATTATTATGCCGTGCCATGCCACAGTAATTACTGCTAATTGACATTTCTCGAGCATTAAGTTTGTTTTGCTGTACGCCCGTCTCGCTGGAAGAAGATAGAAGCCAGTTAACATGGCCAAGGCCAAGTCATTTATCATCCACTAAAAGGTAAATTTCCCCCTAGTTTCACTCCTCGTTGGGCAGGAATATTTCTCGGCATTTCTGTGATTATTCACCATTCGACTATGTAGATGTAGCTGGCTGTCATGCCGTCGTCGACTAATTAAAATGCCGCACAACGTCGGGCAGAAAAGGATATTTTCTGGGGAAATTCAGCCAGTCGTTGGTCGAATGAGCTTGTCCTGAAAGCCAAGGTCACAAACGTCCCATTCAGGGACAGCATCATTAATTCAAAGGCAGCTTTTTGCCAGTGTTTCGGTTAAGCCGCTTAGCTTTGAATATATATAGTTATTTAACAAGAAATTATCGAGGGATAATGCCAATAGGTATAAAGGCAGATTAAATTTTAACCTTTTTTTGAAAAGGCCTTGTTCATTTTAATAAAATCGATAACCCGCAACCGAAATTAATTCCGCCGTTAGGTTGACACACACTTTCAAACTCTGTATGCAAATGTTGAAAGGACAGCTTTCCTCACCACAGTCTCTTGTCAATCAATGGCATTCCCTTTATATTCTCAACCAGCAGGAAAACCGATTTAAAATTTATGCATAAGTTGCCCAAAGCAAGGGAGAAGTTTTGTTTTCAACTCCCACGGTGAAAATGACATCATTTCCTGCTGATTGACAGTCCGGAAAAGCTGAAAGGTTCATTCATATGCATAAATCCCTTAAAATTAAATTTCTTGGAAAATCATAAAATTAGTATAAATAACTCAGTAATTCAAGGGAAAATTTAAGCTTTGCGAGGAAAGACCTTCATCGCTTATCTCTGTATTTGTTGTTTATTGGGGGCGTCATCCGATTTTTGGAGCTCTGTTTATCCGAATTCACTTTCACTAGCTATCGGCATAATTTTGCTCCATTTTTGGTGTGCTAAATGCAAGGCATTAGTGGCTCGTTACAATTGCATGTTGCAGTTGCAGCGGCGCAGGGGCAAATCAATCAAATTACCAGTGGAATTTCGTCACGGCAAACGGGACCGAAAAAAGACGCCCCAAATGGAAGCCGAAAACAATTTTCAAGTTCATGGCAGACTCATGGTCCTTTGGCATTGGCTCTTCGTCGCCGACTGTGTGGCATGTCATAATGCAGTTATAATATGCAGACTTCTAAGCATATACACATGTACACAATGTCCCGATTCGCCGATTGAAATTATGACATTTTGATGATTTTCTTATTGGTTTGTTATAGACTCGTCTGTTTGCCAAAAAGCTTTACCTCCCAAACAACCGCTCGTCATCCGTAAAATCAATATTAGCCAATTTTTCCTTAAAGCCCGCCGCTTTAAGAACCGCTATTTTGGCATTTTCGCAGGCGCCACGAAAAAGTTTTCAAATTAAAAGCCGCGTGACCTTTGCGGTCTGGGTGGGCTGCTCCTCTCTATATCGTATATATACTGTACTATACTACTGAGTGTTGCTCAACGATTTGACAGTCATCCATGCCATTATGTGGCTTTGGCGGGTTGGCGGCGGGTGTAAAAAACACGAGAAAACGTCCTTGGCACTCTGTTAGCTCAATCAGCTTAGCGCGCTTTTAAACACTCTTAGCAACTTGTGGAGGGAGTGTGTGCTGGCCTTTCCTTTCCGTATGCTGACATAAATTTAAATTGGATTACGGCATGTACCAGCCGTAAAACACGGCTCAAAGCCTCAAGACGCGATTAAAAAGCTGAAAGTCACACTCACAAAACTGTAGAGTGGGTCGATTGAAATATAAAGTTGAATTTAAAAATGAAAATTAAAAGAAAAGTTGCCTTGTTTGTTTGTTAGGTGGTTAGAAAGAAATACAAAGTTAAATTTAAACACGAAAATTGAAAGAAAATTTGGCTTTTGTTGTACTTTACTTTATACTTTGTACATTTAGGGTTTTGTGGTTTAATAATTCACGCTCTGTTCATAAATTCTTATTCAGACTTTCTTAGCTTTAACGGCTTCAACCTTTAGAAATTTATCTACTTCCACACAAAATTCCCGAGTCCATTCATGCCAATCGCAGTTATTACTTTTGGCCAACTACCACTCTCTTTTATATAGGTCACACATGTCAAAGCAGGCGATAAAGTTATTGATAGCCATGTGGACATAACAGCTTATGGGAAAAACGGAAATGAAAGCGAGTTCAATAAATTGAGATCTAGATGATGATGAACGGGAGAAAAATCTCTTCGACAGCGAGACAAATATCTTGCCCTATGAGGTTGCCACAAAAAGTCATCAATCATCGGTTCCCAGAAACACTGGCAACAACAATTGACCAAACTTTTGATCAAGGAGTATACTACACCCACCGGCTGTAATCTTGGCTCGTTGTCTCTTTTGTGGTTGCATTGACATTGAGGGAACGGAACTCCTTTGTTATCAGTTAATTAATCGACAGAAATCGCATAAACTGCGAATGCAAAACATGGCACAGAAATCGCAAAGTAAACAAAAACTGCGAAAGGGTTGACAGACAGGGGACAATTTTTTAAATTAAGAAGGAGGCTTACAGTGATTATATCATATACTTTTAGTAATGTGGTTTTAAAACTACAAATAATACCTAAAACCGTAATAATATTAAAATACAAAGAGTTTCGGTAACATTCAATTAAAATATGTATGAAAATTGGAAAATTACTTAACTTTGAATATAAAAATAAACTTTGTTTTATTGCGAAGAAGAATGCTAGATGCTAAAGCTATTAATTCGAAGAAATGCGAGATAAATCATGTTTTTCGATAGTTTAAAATGAAAACAAACTTTTGTTCCACTGTTGTAATAGTTTGGTCGCCCTTTTCGGCTTGATTTGCCACCATTTTCAGTATGGTTCTAATGTCGTCTGCCGTTTGCCGACTGCTCATGACTGACATTGTCGATATTGTTGTATTGTTGTTGCTGACGTAGAACGTTATCGTTGTGTGCCCAAATTTGAGCCCGACATGCAATGGGAATTAATTCAATGCATGTTGGCCGTGCTACAAACAAGGCTTAAAGCGGTCGGCATTTGACTCGACTCCTTGTTTTGTTCTCCAATCGCGAGAGTGTCCCTTGTTTTGTCAACCATTTCGATGGGGGGGGTTATTGTCGCTGACTCATGTTCCAGTCACTTTTGCGAAGGGGTTGCACTCTAATGCTCCATTTGTTTCCTTGTCCTTACAGCTTGAACCTGTACGAATTGATAAAGAAGAACAACTACAATGGATTCAGCATGAGTCTCATACGACGCTTCTGCAACTCGATTGTGAAGTGCCTGCGTTTGCTCTACAAAGAAAACATTATTCACTGTGATCTCAAGCCGGTAAGTGCACTGCCATTAATTGCATTTCCCCTAACTAATTGTTTACTTTGAAATAGGAAAACATCTTGCTCAAACAGCGTGGCAGCAGCTCCATTAAAGTCATCGACTTTGGCAGCTCGTGCTACGTGGATCGCAAAATCTATACGTATATCCAATCGAGGTTCTACCGCTCCCCGGAGGTGATTCTCGGCCTGCAATACGGCACCGCCATCGATATGTGGAGCCTGGGTGAGTGTGTCCGCTTTTAATTAAAAACATTCCACCCACCAAACCACCAAACCACCAAACCACCAATGTCCCAAGTGGGCTGCAAAACATGCGCCGCCGGTTGCAATGAAATTTTAAATGCTTGCCCTGCATTTGGCAGGCAAATTTATTACCCACACACGCTGGCCCTATAAATATTACCGGCAATGGTGGGAAGGATTAAATATTAAACATTTGTGGGTTATACAGCACGTGGACGAGTTCTGGGTTTGTAGGACATGAGTTGTACTGAGATACAGGTGTACATAATTGTACGTTTTTGGGAAATTATCAGCGTTGGTCAAGCATTCCACTTTGGATTTTAAACTTGAGTAAAACTACTTAACCATTCTGAAACTGAACAAAAGGTAACAAATTTCAAATGAAAGTAAACAACCATTTACCATTTACATTTTCAAGAAGAGTTGTTATCTTAAGTGGTTTTATTTCCGATATGAAAGGAAACTAGTAGAACCACTTAAACGTAAATCGTAGACTATTTTTCTCGCAGTAAAGCCTTTTACTTTACCCGCTCAATTGACCTAGCCCGAAACCGAAAAGCTCAGCCAAGTGTAAGAACACGCACTTGGCCAATTAGTAGCAACAGGCAAAAGCGAAGGCGGCAAAGGAAAAGGAAGAGGAAAGAAGGAGGACCTCCTCCATCCGAGCGAACAATGAGATATCGATAAAGGTGCCGGAGGTGCGGGCCAGAGGTTCCTTCTGTTCAACAAGTGCCGCTGCCCCACTCGAAGTTTATGTATACAATAATTTTGCCCAGCCCAGTTGGTTCTGCTGGAGTCCTTTGGACTCTTTGGCCACTTCCCCGGCCACATCGTGCACATCCTTTTAGCGCCCATTTCCGACCACAACCACGTCCGGTCAGCAGCAAAGGCAAAGGCACTGGCAAAATATCGTGAGCTCCGTCAACAACAAAGGACTCATTAAATGTGCGCACGGACGTGGCTCCGGCGGTGGCAGGTTGTTATTTCTGGCCCCTAATAAAAGCCAGCTCAGTTTATTTTTATCCGCTGTCTTGGGCTTCTTCATGTGCGGACCCCCTTGTTTGAGTTACTCTGCACTGAGCTTACAGTGAACTCACATGAAAATGGGTTACGTGTTGAATGATGTGAGCTCTTAACAAACTCGCCTCCTCCGCAGAGGGGGGGGATTTCTGCAATAGATACGAGTGGGTTTGATTGCTGTGGGGTTCATTAGGTAAATAAGGTCGCAGATGCACGAAGAGCTGAGTTTAAGTACGTAGTTTCAGATAAGTGATTGGGTCTAGCTAAAAATTAAAGCCTTGCTACTAAATTTTTTTGTAAGTAAAGGCTAAGCCACTCTTGTTACAAACTTAACCAACTTGTTTTGATATATTTTAAAGGAATCTTCTTGTAACATCTCAAAAGGAAAATAAAAACTTTCAATCAAACAGTATCTCTGTTGTCATAAGTGTCATCTCAAAATAGCCTTTTCCCCTGTCGATCAAGAACCATCCATCCAGAGCTACACAATTCCATTTTCCGCAAAAAGCAGCCACAACAAATTGAGATGAATAGCCACAATTTAAGGGCAAACCATTGAGTCACAAGATGTCAGTCAAAGGCCTTGATTCGACCATCTTGCAGTGACATCTCTCCTTGACTGACCGACCCTCCAACCCAGCGAGTCCATTAGAAAGTGCAGTGGGAAATAAATAATCTCGAGCAGAAGAGGGCACACGTGCTCGCAACAAAGTCAAGGTCAATGCGCCTGTTTGACCGCCCCAAAATGACTGCAGCAGACTGAAATCGAAATGACTGAAAGTGACCCCCAATCGAGTACACAAAAATCAATACTAATTACATGTCAACCTATTTGTTTCTTTTTCGATTTTTATAGGCTGCATTCTGGCCGAGTTGTACACGGGTTTCCCCCTCTTCCCGGGCGAAAATGAGGTGGAGCAGCTGGCCTGCATCATGGAGGTGCTGGGACTGCCGCCCAAGGTGCTTATCTCGGTGGCCAGGAGGCGTCGCCTCTTCTTCGATTCCCGCGATGCCCCGCGCTGCATAACGAACACCAAGGGAAGGAAAAGGACTCCGGGTAGCAAGTCGTTGGCACAGATTCTGCACTGCCAGGACCGCTACTTCATCGACTTCCTGCAGCGCTGTTTGGAATGGGATCCCGCGGAGCGGATGACGCCGGACGAGGCGGCCCACCACGAGTTTCTGCAGCCCTCCGCCTCGAGTCGCCATCGCAGCTGCCGCATGTCGAGCAGCTCGTCCAGCTCGGGGTTGAATAGTGTTTCCCAGAAGTCTTCCTGCTACAGCTTTTCGGAGATCTCGCCGGGCACCAACGGGCCCGTGGTGGCCTCGATAACCAGCACCACGGCGGTGCACAATGCGGCGATTGCCACCACCACGAAGTCGAGACAACAGCCGGCGGTGGTGCAGAGCCACGGACACGCCCAGTCCAATGGACACCTGCCGGACATCAAGTTGAGTGCCAGCGACAAGTACAACAGCATGCAGAAGGTGGCGGTGCGCTCCAAGATCACCTCGAGCGTCTCGGACTTGGAATCGGTGCAGCAGTACTCGCTGCATCGCATCTACGGCGGAGTGGGCAGTGGCAGCACCCATCACGTTTCCTCGGCGGCCACCAGGAAGCATCTGACTGGCACCGGGAATGGAGTGGTGGGTGCCATGGCCTCGAAGTATGGCAGCTCCACGCTGGCCCACAACCACCACAATGTGACGCACCACAATGCGTCGACGGCGACGATTGCCACGACCACGCACCACCACCACCACCATGGAGCAGGTGGCCAGCAGCAGCAGCAATCTGGTTCTGGAACAGGAAACATGGCCATGTCGCACTCGCAGTCCACTGGCGATGTCTCCGATAGGGCCATCTTCGGGCGGGCTTGACTCCGGGCAAGGCCCACCAAGCTGGAGCTGAAGAAGTGCAAGCTGGTCAACATGATGGACTTCTGGAGCTAGAAGTGGCGTCCACAGCACTGCGCTGATGTCAAGGAGCGGGAGGAGGAGCTGGAGGAGCAGCAGAAGCAGGAGCAGCAGCAGCAACAGAAGAAATAGAACCTCCTCCTTCTCCCAAGCACCTAGTTGTAGTTATTGATATGTGTAAGCTATATAGGAACTATAGAAGTGTGTGCGTGTGTATGTGTGTGATGTGTAATGGAATGTGAGCGCATTGCTGTTGTACTCCCACTTCCCCGCCCACTCGAAATAGTTGCATCCAGCTGACAAAAAAAAAAAGGGGGAGTCGTCCTTTCTTGCAGCACTTTGCAGTATTCTCAGTTTCCCTGAACCACGACCCGTATTTTATTATTTCGCTACTGCCATAGCTAAAGGTATTCGCAATCGTATTCACACCCACAAACCCTCCCCGAAAAGTATTCTCCCTCCCTCCAAAATACCAAACTACCAAGGTGTTGCAAGTCATCCTTTCGCACTGTATTCAACATGAACAAAACCCTTCTGAAATAAATAAAAATAAAATAAAGAAAGAAAAAAGAAAAGATACTAAACAGAAGCCAGCTCAAAGGAACAAGATAACCTAGATATAGTTTATTAGATATGGCATATACTAAACATAGTTGTAGACGACATTTGTAACGATTCACCCAACGCATCCCACTCGCCCGAACTCAAAGATACATACATATTTATAGGGTTACGACTCAAACAAAATCTGTAACAATTTCATACAGCTTCCATGTCTTTTGCAACAGTATCAAGGCTGTTATTAGTTACATATGCGAAACCGAGATGTATCTATATATCTTAACTGTAATTGTATTCGTAGTTTAAGAACCTGAAGGTTCGATGGCCAACATCATACATCACACTGAAGCAAATCAGCTCCTTAGTCTACCAATGCAAGATATGTTTGTATTTCGAATGGAAATAAATGAATTATCACACATCAGCCCTATCCACGCGGAATACATGTCATAATTTAATGAAAACACATATATTTAACGAACTATAAAGCTATTAAAAACAAAAACTAGACGGATAGAGAAACAAAATATGGCCAATATCACAACCGAATAATAAACACCAACCCAATATACAATAATTGTAGTGCGCCACGTCTATGTAAACCGTATTAGTGGAGGCAAAAGCAAAACAAATTAATAATGTTTTATTCAAATTAATGTTTGTGTATTGAAAAAAAGAAGAAACAAGACGACGGAACTTGAGCTGGGTAAAAATGCTTACCGAATCCAGACTGTAATTTGAACGAAGTTTGTAACCTGTAATAATGTAAGTTTAGATAACACTGTACACAAATTGCAATTTTTGCTCATGACTTTTGGATATATATCACATAGGACTACAATACCTAAGCATACATATATATACACAGCTGCGATCCTTTGGAGCTTGTTTCGTATTATTTATAAATGTTTTCTCTGCCACTCGTCGTAATTATCTCTGATACTTTCATTATGTGTTTTATTATAAATTTTGACAAAACAAAAACAAATCCAATTGCAAAACTTGTTTTACAAAGTGTGTTCGAATTTAACGTTTAGTATTAATTAAAAGAAAAAACAATGATAAACTTATAATTATAAAAATATACGTACAGATATATCAATTTTAAATTAATGATGCATATTAATTGTATAGATCGAGAAAAACAACATGTAATCAATTACAATTACAAGAATTACAACAAAAAAATAAATGAAAAACTATGTACTCAAAACAAGCGATTACTTTTTTTTTTTACGTGTAGGCAAAATTAATTATTGCCTACTTACAGGCTTTTGTAGAAACGAAGTATGTAAGTAAAATCCAAGTAAGTACTGGTTGACCTAAATTTTGCTTGAAGAGATTTTAATTCTTTCTGCACACGTTCAGGTTGAGGAATTTAAATATATTTTTAAATTGGCATTACAGTTAATACTAATCCAAACAACTGAATGTTTTTTTAATAATGCTCAACAGGATAAACACGTATATAATCTTATGAGCTAACTTCAGGGCTAGATGGCGCCAAGACAAACTTATTTATTACTTAGCATTATGCCCGTTCATCAGAATTTTAGATATCAAGCTTCAATCCATAATCCAATAATTGTTTTTAAATCTAAGAACATAAGTAATCAATAATAATAATTGTGTTTCTTGGAACTTGAAAAATGTATCCAAAACTTGCTAGAAACTTTGCTTAAAATCGGTGACCTAGCTTTTTATACAATAATAGTAATTCCAAATCTTGAAATCAGTCGAATCAATCTTTTTAATTGCATACAAATCATATTAATGGTATTACATATATTATCATCAAATCGAGCGGATGTGGTTGCGGGCTTCAAACTCTTTTGGACCTTATATTTGGTCTAATTTTGTCAGCCCGGCCTCTTCGTGTTTCCCAATTTTGGTGTTGGGCATAATGACTCCACGTGACACCATTTGGGGATGCCGCGAGGGCTCATTTAGTTTTTGTTATTAATTCATCGAATCTATGGACGTTCGCATGTATTATGCAATTTCCGACAGCGTCTAAACAGAGAAGAAAATAAAGTTGGCAATTTTTTGTGTTGTTAATATTTGTATACTTTTCAGATTGATTGTGTCTGCGCTTAAATAGGGCCCTTACTAATAACTGTATCTGCTTAAGCCATTAGTGTTGTCAATAGTTGCCGACTAAATAGTCGGCGATTATCCCAAATGACTTGAAGATTTGGGCATCGCTCTTGGCCGACTGTACTGGCCTGAAGATATTTCGGTTGTCCCAAAACTGACAGCTTCAAATGCCCAAACGTTTTGTTTTCACTTTTGATTCCCAAGTGCCTGCGTGGGGGTTAACAAGTGGACAGATCTCGGGGAAAGTAGAATTCTAAGTACACGCAGCGGATCAGCCATATGACTTAATCCCCATGCCCGCCCCATTCTTGAATGAAAAGTAAAAGTTGCCAGCTCACGATTCAAAACTCGCGGATCGTTCACACCAAACCACCGAACCACCGAATCACCGAACCACCGAGCAATTCCCTGTGAGATCGTCTGGATAGTCGAGTGATAAAAGCAGGCAGTAAGCGTCATCGAGTCAAAGGTTTATTGACGTACGATGGTGGCTTCTTCAGCGCCTGCTGGTGATCATGATCATGATTATGATAGTCGCTTTGCCCACTTGTTGTTGCCAGGTGAGGCCGTTTGCAGGTTGGGTTCGCTTTTTCGGATTCGGATTCGGGTCCATGGCATCTGTCTCGAAGGCCGCTTCTGCCTCAACTTGCCTGCCTTTTTCTTAGCTTCTTTTTTTTTTCTTTGGCTTTTTACCCATACATTTCTTGCCTTCTTTCTTTTGATCATTCGTCGCAAGGTGAAAGTCTTTCCCCTCGAGCGTTTTGTTGTTGGGTATTTGTAAAGCATTTAGTCTTTTTTCGGTGTTTCAGTTTTTGTTATCTGACCGTCTGGCAATGGCTTTTGTTTTTTGTTAATCTCGGCCAGATATATGAACTGTCCATTGGGTGCCCATTCATCACTGTTTTTAACTAGACTTTGGGTAGTGCAAATTATTTAGGTTGTTTTGAAATAATTGTTTATAAAGAGTTAGAACCGTTTGTTAAACTGTTAATCATCGAACTTGGCTGATCTATTTTTTGACAACAGTAATCATCTTACTTTAATCATAAAGAGATGCCTAATTTTTTTTAAGGGAATACCTTATTTATTTGCTGACATACAAATAAATTTCAGTAACCATAAATGTTTTTCCCAGAGGTCAGCTTAGTAATTTAGGATACAATGAAGGCAAGGCTGCAGTAATTAAACACACCCTTGGTCAAGTTTTTGAAAAATAAATAAAAATATTTAACTGTATTCAAAGGAAATAATTACTCTGAGTCACATCTTGTTAGAGGCACCACCTCCGATAGCTTGTAATTGATCGACGACAAGATCCCAACTGCCACTGGAACTGGAATTGCCCTGTCTCTGACCCTGGTAGTCAAAATTTAATGGCAAACCATTAACGAACAAGCGAAATTGGCAATTATAACCCACAGTTTTCGCCGTGTGTGGGAAGTAATTACAGAAACACGAGCACGCCGGGGGATATATACAGAGAGAAAGAGCAAATCGGTCAAAAAATAAGTAGAAAGAAATTAAAATCTGGTAATTAGAAATTGATTTGACAGGGGGTTAACTTCCTGCAAACATTTCCAACGGATTGTGGAAATGAATCAATATGGCAACAGGTGAAAATATTTTCCATCTATTTCTGGGATTGCGCAGTGGGCTTTTCTCACAGTCCGATCGGCCAACAAAGAAAGTCATCAAATAAAATTTAAGCACGCACTACAAAAGATCCGAGGAGAGATGACTTGGATAACCGAGGGCTCCGATCTTTAGTATCATCATGGGTCATTATCATTGTCTGTGAACGGAACAAAGAAGCCAAACTTGATAAGCTCTCTGGCGCTTGGCACTTATGCAATCGCCACTTAAATGTACCTGTGGTCGGTCTTTCTTTTAGAATTGCATTCGGACCTTTGATAATTGGCCTTGGGATTGCATTTTGTTTTCCTGGGCGTCCGGAAAGTGAAAAGTTATTTATGAAAACCGGCGATGAAATGCCTGTTTTGGGAGTTGATTGATGGATAGGTTGATTAGTCGCCACCGAATTGCTTGCGTACTGGAAATAATTGAGTGGAAAGCTGAAAATGCACCACTTTGTTGAATGGTCTACCTGATTTTCTGATATATAATGTGCATTTCCTTCAAATAAATTGTTTGCTTTGAAGGGGAATGATTTTATCAATTCAACGCTGTCAAAATATGAGAAAGAAAGAAAGAAACTTTAACGAGTCACAAGACATTGGAGTAATGACAAGTTTTTTTGAAGTCTTGACCAACTTAAAAAATGCAATTGAATATCAAAAATCATTTATTAAATTTTTGTACTATTTTGTATTAAAAAACATCGGGGCAAGTCGGACATTCTTTTAACCATTTCATTGGAAAGTCTTTTTAATGCGATCCATCAAAACAACCCCATGCAGACAAATCTAAATCTGAACAATGATAAATGTATTCCACTAATCCGATGATCCCTGCGAGCAGCTCACATGGCGCCTTCTATTAAGATATCAAATCAAGCGTAATATGCAAATTCACTGGCAAGTGGCTGTGACGTAAGGTGTAAGAAACTGTTCAGTAGATCACCTTATGGGATCTCAGCGGGGATCGCCAAACACGTTGCTCAACCGAGCTTCCAACTTAGCATTAATCATGCTCGAATCGTGGAAATATGAATCAGTTGAACATACGCTTGCTTGTCTATAAAAATCGGTAATAAGCGCGGCAATGAGCGTGAACAACGCCAGCTATTGTTGTTACAAGTCTTGAGTTGTGAACCACACGTCTGTGGCTTAAACGATGCAATGCAATAAAATAATTTGATCCAAGCCCGAATTCTCGGACGCCCCCGATCCGGATTGTTATCGCCACTTCCGAGTAAGCTACGTGGTTGTGGCCATAATCTTCTTGGTTGGTTGGGGAAACTAGCAATCGGAGATTTAAGTTTCGGCTATTCCGTTTCTGGGTTCGATAAGCTACCGTGATTCACGCTAAATTGATAAGCCGATGCATGCCGCTTCCTCATGTTGCCAACAAAACCCGGCAACACTTTCTCTTTCGACCAGAAAGCCGTGCTCTTTCCTTTCTCTTCGAGCAGATTGCTGCCTCTTCGACTTTGGCAACATGTTGCCAATGTGCGCATGTTGCTGGCTTCTTCGTTGCCACTGCGACGGCTTTTTGGCATCTTCGTCGCGAGCTTGGCTTAAATTGTTACCAAACGTTTAATGATCTTCAGTTAAGCTTCGAACTTTTACCAGACAAGTCGTGTCTGCGGCTGCTACCATTGCCAGTCAGTCAGTTGAAAAGTCAGACCCCAAACGCGGCTCAAACGTTAACGGAATTTTAAAACCGAGAGCGTCGAAGAAAACAGAAACTGCATCATTTGCATAAAGCAAATAGAAAACGTAACGAAAATAACTTGGACCAAAGTTGATTTGGATTAAGTGTTGTTGTTCCGTGTCGCATAACTGACATTTTTTCGCGCGCCCTCCTTTTTCTGGGACATTTTCAGCGGTATCGTGTTTGTTTCGAAAGAAAATAGTGCATCGATATCGGATTAATTGAGAAAACAAAAACAGTTGATAGAGGCAGTATTGTATACGGAATTCCAAAGTGAATCATGAGAGTCTCATTGGCGTTGTGGGGCACTTTGTGCCTGTGGGTGGTCACTGCGAATGCCCAAGGATTTATACAACCACCCAATGTTGGACTTCACAATGCGGTAAGTTGGGAAAGTGGCTAAGAAATAATTTCAATAAATACTTCAGCATTTGTTGATGTTAATAAAATATTCAAATTTTGCAAAACTCCATCTGTGGTGTTCCACATTCCATTGGACAAAGGCAATACCTCATAAACGTCATTCGAAATATGTGCCAAATAATCATAAAAGTGAAGAAAAAATATTTATCACTTAATTTGCATTCCCATTGAACGATATGCAAATATTCATTGTTAAATCTGGCTTTGTGGACTCTTCGTTTGTCCCGACCAAATTGACACAGTTTTTAGATCTTTTCGATTTTCGGCCAAAGAAAGTTGCCATGTGTTGAGTAGTACTCGCATAAATATGTCAAACAGCCAAAAAAGATTTAGAGCGCCTTCCCAAAAAAAAATTCCTCAAAACTTGCATAAGACTTTCTACCAATAAGGTGACCCCCAACTGATCGCAGTTGGAGTTCCCATGCCTCCCTGCCTATTTAAAAATTCAATTATTTAAATATTTGTTTTCGGAATTTCAATATTAATTGTTGAAACATTTAGGACCGCAACTGAAAACGAAAACGATTTTCAACGCCTCAATGAACTTTCCCTTTTCACAAAAATATTTTTATCTTTCGCTGAGTTGAAAGGCGGGGGACTCGATTAAATGAAGATGCAAAGGAAAGCCGTAAAGTCATGAGACAACGTTTAAGGCAGCCAGCTTGTAGATTATAAACCTGTTCGGTTGGATTGGTCAGGAAACCGTGTATCGAAAAGAAAACCCATCTCCCAACAACTTCAAGAAGAAGTTTGGCTGAAGAAATTGCCAAGTCATTTCGCTTTCAGAGAACTTCTCACGGGTTCGTGCCAAGTTTAAGGTCCCTTAGATAATTGATTACCTTGCTAACACTTCGCAGTTTTCCTATGTCGATGTAATCTGATCAAGTTTGGCATCCGCTGTTATAGTTTTCACTTTTACGGCTAAAGCCCAAAAAGTTTTGGCCAAAAGCCACAACGATTTATGATGTGAAATCAACAGCTTTGTTGTCTCCTCTTTTTTCGTTGTTTAATCTTTACTTTTGGATGAACTAATGCCTATAATTGAGGTTTGAATTACGTAAAAAAGATTTATTTTTTCGTTGCTTGTGCCACGGGCAATATTTTGATATGGGATTATGGGATTATGGTTGAATGGGCAGACAGATAAAAATGCCCTGATCATCGCGAACTATTTCGTAGTGTAAGTGCAGACAATTAGCGAACAAAAGAAGTCAAGCTTTGCAACCCTAAAGTTAATTTATTTTCCTAACAAAAAATTGTAGTATTCACCTCTCGCTTGGCTTTGTCCTTAACCTTTTCGTGCATCGGTTGACTTGCCAATTTCCTTTTCGGCAACTTGCACAACTTTTCCATAACGCAAGAAAAACGTGTTCGGACCAGATTTTTGCCAACATCATCTCTCACTATTGACATAAGCTGTGGCAATGGCCTGCGATTGCATCTTAACAGTTTTTACTTTTTTTGGCCAAACAACAAAACCTGCAGAAGGAAAAAAGTATCATCATCTTCCTTTTGTCTGGCAGTAAACAGGAACTGGTCGATGTCGCAGTTGAAGTTGCAGTGGCTGACTTAAGAGACTTTTGTTGTATTTCGGGATTCGTCGGCTTGGCAATTTCTTTTTTGTTTTTGCTATTGCTTAATTTGAACTTTTATTATTTTGTATATATTGCCTCACGTAGCGCCTGCAGTTGTGTCTTTGTGTCGTGTAAACTTGGCAGCCGGGCAGTCAACTGTTCAGTACCATCTGTTGCCCATCGTCCATTGGCCATCGTCCGTAGTTCCATAGTTCACGGCGCAGGCGCAGCAGTTCCCATCCGAAATCCGCATCCCGGCAGAAAACAACAATTTTCTGTCTTCGAACATGTTTTTCTGGGCCTGCCAAATTGTTGGCTTGCCGGTTGTTTCCTTTTATTTTTTTGTTGTTTGCTTTTATTTAACATATTTATGTTTATTTTACTCGCCTTGCTTTCACTTTTGTTGGGGCAAGCAAATATACACCATAGATAATCAAAAGAACACCGCTTGATAGAAAGACCCATCCTTATTTAATCAAATTTTTATCATTTACATAATTAACTCATTGCTTAGCACGTTACTTTGTAGTTGGTTTGCTTTGAAAACCAACCGCATTCAATTTTCAGCAATCAATCAGATTACATTATTAAAAAAGCTTTTAACGTATCTATAAATTTGGCTTGTTAAGAAATCGATGCTAAATTGCTGCTCATCACACGAACTCACTCTCTCTGTTTCCAAGCCAACTAATAAATGCCCACATTAAGCTTCCCATGGTATAACCAGCTTATCATTTTCGATTAAACGTAGCCTCGAGCCAACTGAGCAATAAATACAAGCAACATTTCACATTGACTTACGTCGGGCAATAATTTGATATTTTTGTGACGGACCCTACAACCTGTTCGTTTTCAGTTCGGCTTTTGTTTCCACAACAACATCAACAAGCAGCAGAAGAAAAAAAATAAAGCAAAAATCATAATAAGAAGCCGCATTTCATTGTAATTTCTTTTCGCGAGCTGGGTTCTGTTCGATTTCAAGGCAAGGAAAGTGGGTCAATCGAGAGATCTTTATAAATATTGTTGTTCGGTTGCATATTTATCTGAAAGATATTTCGATATACGAGCGACGAGGTGACAAACTCTTAATGGATTTGGCTTGAAAAATGAAAGTTGTTTTTGTGAGAGAACAGGAAAGTGTCAACGCGAACGAGACGGGCGAGATGTTGGCACTTGCCGGAGCTCAAGAGCTAATCGGCTCAGGGCTCAATCATCGCACCTCAATCGCCTCTGATTATGGCCCTCGATTTTTCCCACTTCAGGAAAGTAACGAGCTGCCATTAGCCTGGCGCCACTTTAAACCGAACCGCATCAAACACAATCCCATTGAGAGCGCCTTTCAGCTGCTAACCACAAACAAATAAAATAATTGTACGCTAATCACACCGGGACAGCGAGTGTCCAATTGGATCTGCCTTATTTCTTTATTTTACTCTTTTTTTCTACTTTACTAGATTGGCTTTGCACCCAACTGGTTTCGAGGTGATTGAGAATTAAATCAATTTCGTTTTCAATGAGAGGAAAATTGCCTGAAAAGTGAATGAAACCGGAGTGTCATGCCTGATTGATTGGATTGAGGAGGGCGAAAGGGCTGTTTGGGAAAAAAATTGTAAATGTAATTTCATCGGTGATATAAGCGGCGTTATGCAATCTTCTGCAATGCAGCTACTTATTTTCTAACCTTTTGATTGCTGTTTGATGAAGTTTAGGAATTTGCAAAATAAATAAACGCTTTTGCATTTTGGTTTCTCCAATTGACTGACCCACTTAATATGCAAATTAGAATGTAAGTGGGGTAAAAGTAGAAGGCAAATTTCTTCCAAGAATTGCAGATACCCCGCCGTCCAACTTTATAGGGGTTCATGGCATCTTCCGCTTTCTATAGTTCCTCATTACCCCAACGAACTTCTCAATTATTAAGCCATTAACATAGCCAGTAAACCGCAGGCTTGGTTCCGCATAATTTCGTGGAAACGATCAAAAGAAATTAGCTCAGTGAAAAATAAAAATGGTATTACCTATAAACAATAATTTCACATGCCAGCGGAGGGATCATTAAAACGACGTCCGAAATGGGAAAAGAAAGTAAAAGGGCTCGGCGACATAACTCATCGCGGGATATTGACAGTTTGGCCGGATGGCTTCTTCTGCCGGGTCATTAAAAATCGCTTGAATTGGCCAACCAAAAAAAATCGGAGATGCAGAAAACAAAATGGGATTTGTTATGGCTTTTTATTGTCTAATTGCGAGCGACGACAAATAGGAATTGGTGGAAGTGGCAAGCCGCCTAACGAATGCCGCAATTAGTCGAGGTATGTTGTGCGGTAAATATATCAAGGCAATTTTTGCACCCACCGCCGTTGCAACAACGTACCAAGTGCAGCAAGTACAGCAAGTGTCAACTTCCGCGTTACTCATACGCCACGTGAAACGGGTTTTTCAGCTGCATCTTCTTTCTCGCCATAACTCAACGCAAATATGGCCAAAAGTCAAACGATCCTCGGCGAGGAATCGAAACAACCGCACGTAATGCAATAGCCAAGCCCAACGGCGGTTCAAACTGGGCAACTCGTTATGGCCCCAAAGTTTTCTTGTTGCACTTTCGTTTTCGTATTGTTGTTGTATTTGTATTTGTTGTTGCTTTTTGCCTTTGTGTCTGGGGCGAAATGTTTATTGCGCGAAAATGAAGAAGCGTTTGTTGCTGGCTTGCAGTTCCAAAACAAGATTTTCCACAAGCCGATGATGCTGACTGCTGCTGCTGCTGCTGTTTTCTGTTTTGCTGCTGCAATTGCATCTGCAACTGTTGGACGGGTCGGGTTGGTCTGCCCCAAGATGTTGCAAGCCGACGACGAGTTGCATAATTTGTATGTGTGTGTTTTCCTTTTGCCTGGTGGCGAGGTGGGAGTCACAGTTTTTAAGCCGCCTGCTTTACCCCAAAGCACCGAAAACGTGTCCATCGATTTGCACTTTATTTCTCTGTTTTTGAGCACTGCAAATGCGCAGCGAAATTATTTAATGACATTTTTGCGGTTGGGCATGGTGTAATGGAAAAGTGCAGATATCAATTTTACTTTCATATGGTATGGTATGCATGCAAAAGAGTTAGAGGATGGGCAGCTAAAGGTTAGGGGGTTATGGGAAAGTCGGCAAGGACGTTCATGGAATAGTCAACAAATGAAGGATAAATGTGGGAAATGGTATCTGGTTATATGAATATGATATTTAAAACTTTGCTTGTGTGTTAGCATTTGCATAACATGCATTTCTTAAAAATTTTTAAAATAAAACCAAAAAGAGTTAGTTGCTTAGCAATAAAAATTACGATTTAATGTATTTTTGTTAAAAAAGCGAGCAAAGATTTGTGCCTCTTCAGGAAATCTCTTTG